TATGTTTTATGGGACGTTATTGTTCGTGCCACCCTCAGTAAGCGCGAAGAGTGGTTGCTGATTGGGCGACGCTCGAGAACGCGTTTGTTCTGTACAATCAAGTACATCACCATCGTGATTGCGTGTTCGATTACGCGATCGAGACTGGTAATTACAACAATCACCATGCATCTGGATCGTGATTGCAGTGATTAAAGATGGCAGACAGACGACAGGACGGCTTTTGTACAATGAACGAGGTGTAAATACTTGTATCAAAATGTTTTTAGCTAGAAGCATGCAAATATATATTCTGATATAATAGTTATTTTCGCGAGATTTCATGCTGTCATTTTGTAAAATGAATGAAATTGCGAGGAAAAAAACAATCATGATTAGATTACGTGTTTTGATAAGAGCCCCGATTTCAGTAATGACAACAAACTAATTATAATAATAATGATCGCGCAAATCGAATGCACCTCAGGTCATTTTGAAATTATAACACTTGGCACTAGTGAGGTTAAAGGGCGGCAGTCGTCGCGCCGCGTCCTGTTCGATATGGGACTCATAGCGACGTATACAACGCGTGTAAAATACATTGTTTATTTACATGAAATTCGAACACGCGCTGCGTGACGACCACCGCGCTTTAAAATCATCGATTGGTCGGATCACAGTCTTTTGAGTTTCTAAATGATTTCTAACAAATTATAAATTAATCGTAAACCACATTCATGAATAATCTGAAATGAGCAGAATAGTTATTTATATTCTCAAATCACAGTTAAATTCTTTTCTAACGACGATTGAACCCCCTTAGTAAGAAATGTGATGCTGTAGTGACGTCACTATGACCATAACTGTTATCAGTGGTATATGGAGTAAAGGCCACACATCTTTCCTTTTATGATTTCCCGAATCTTACATTTTATCATATTTACGACCACCACGTGACCGATCGATGACACGACATTTTAGTTAAAAACGTATGTGTAAATAACGTAAATATCGTAGAAAAATATCCCATCACGAATATTAAAGTTTAATTTGGAAAACAAAAAATGACTGTTCACTCAAAACAGTCCCAGTAATTACATTCCTCCCTCGTTTATTAGGAACCATGCAATTATATGAGAATACAGAGAGATCGATTTTTGATGCGAGGCCTCGGAGCAGAAGTTGACTCAAAGAAATTGCAATAATCATATATCAGCACGGTTGTTATGCGTTATCACGAGCTTCATAATAAACCGTTTAGGCCGTGCCTTGGGGAAATACAAGTACTGTCAACACATGACACACATACATCACGCCTGTATTGACGTTACGTTGTGTTAGCATGAGCCCCAAGAACATATGATGCGAGTTTACGATCATCCTTGCGTAGTCTGATACAGTGGGATTTATTTAGTAGAGCATTAATAAATGCTGGAAGCACATTAAATTGTAAAGCAGATATACATAAAAATAACGACTACTGTGTAGTGTTCTTTAATCGGTGATTCATGTAACAGGAGGTGAATGTTGGCAACAATACAGTTACTAATAGACATTTATTTGCCGTGATTCGCATGTTCCTCTTACGCTTTTTAGTAATTTCCTCTTGCCACTGTTTTGACATCGTTCTTGTTCGTTTTTATTTCTCGTACATTTAGTAAAGACATACATCTTATTGAATTTACACGCGATGGTTTCAAATTATAGTGTTCGCCCCTCCCCATTTTAGCAGGAAGAGGGGGTCAACACCCGGGGTCAACAGCGTATCTGGGCGTATGTTGAAAATGATATGGGAACGGTGATTACATACGTGGTCAATACATATGGTATGAATAGTATGGTAGTATTTTACCTGAATTTATTTTTTCGATTTTTATTTTCATTTACACAGCTTATTTATAATTTGCACCAGGGTGTTTTATTCACATGACGCAAGTGCGAATATTATCTATTTTTCAACCCGAACAGTCATCATGTAATAATTCACAAACATATTTGTTTGAAACTCGAGTGCTTGGAGCAATAGACCATTTTCCGTACACTGCGAGAATCACGCGTTATGCGTGAAATCGAACGTAAAAACAGGACAAACAAAGGTCATAGCGACGTAGTCGCGTCAAACATCGCGTGGGATTCGACAAACGCGAAAGTATTTCGGGGACATTTCCATGCTTAATAATGTGCTGTCCACATTTGATGATAGGCAATTTCGATTAAGTGAGGGTATTCGGAAGCAATATCCTCTGTCGAAGGATCGGCCGGTCAATGTAAGCTGCGAAATAAAGAAATTCTAGTTCAAAATCAAATCGTTCGATTTTTGCAGCAGACGTTCGACGCACGTCTTTCATGCATCTCGCGAGATCTCGCAATTGTTCGGAAAATTACCAATTCATAATGCTAGTGAGAACATCGTTCCAGATTCCCACTGAACGATTTGAAAAGATTCTCTGAC